AAGGAATTTTAAGGAGGGTCAGTAATGAAGCCAACTGGGAGACCTTTAGAAATGCACTGGCAAAGACGTGAACATAAACAATATGATTGACTGTCTTAAGACATATTTGCTCAGGACTACATGCAGGTTAGAGCTTAATAAAATGAGTTTTTGGCCCGGCTGGGAAACAAATTCTGTAATTACTGAAATCAGTCATCCATCTATGGCATGTGTGGTAATGGAAGCCACAGGAAGTTATATTACAGATAAAAGCAATAGAACAGAGAATGGCTTCTAGGTATCTCTGTATTACTTACGTTATCCAATTGAGGATACCAAAACCTTAAATAAGCAACCCTAGAAGAGAGAGCGATTTTATGGACACTTCATTTTGCAATTTCTTGACAAGACTTACTTGTCTATTTATTTTACCATGAGTCCTAGGAAGGTGATGAGATTTTTCATTTGGCTTAAAAGGAACTCTGCCTGTCCAAACAAGACTCAAAAAGTGCCTTCTTTCTCCTTCTCTCTCCGCTTTATTTCTTCTTCCTTCTTAATTAGAAGTGGATCAAGAATAGGAAAGAAAAAAAGTAGTTTTTCTTTTTTGTCGTTTTGTTTATAAGCCAGAGCATCTACGTGCTCACAGAGAGGGAGAGGGATAAAGCACCCCCCTCCCATGGGCAGTGGTCATGCTCCAATCCTTTCTCCTCCATTGCCATCTTACTGGGATTTGGGGCATGCACACACATGTGCCTAGGATGGTTCTCAAGTCCCAGGGACAGGATTCAATACACCTGGTCAGCCATGTGGGCTCTAGTTCCTGTAACCACTAGGCCATGGGACTGGCTCTTGGTCTCTAAATGTTCTTGGGGAAAAGATTCTTATTACAAATATACACTCTTTTTTTTCTTTTTTCACTTATTTATTTTTATATTTTCCCACAAATATTTACTTTACATATAAAAAAAATTTGCTCATATTCCATAGTTCTTGACAGTTAATAAACAACTTTCAAAATTTTAAAATACTGAATTTTAAAGATAACGTTCAAAATATTTCTTAATTTTGTATCATTTTGTTTGTGACACTATAACAACAGAAAAAGTATGGTTTAAATTTTTTTTAATTTTTATATATTTTTATTCTTAAACTATTTATTTTATGTTCATTCACTATACATCATCATTGCAGCATACAAAATGAATTTTCTTATCCAGAATACACTGTATATTAGCTCAGTCAAGTTATCTAATTTATTATTATATATTTTGTAAATTTGACCACAGAAAGATAGAGAGGAAACATGAGGAAGCAAGCAGCCATGTCCAGGACTTGAACTGCAGTAAGTCATGTGGGAGTCTGGCACCCTAACCACCACATCATCTGCAAGCCCGAGACTTAATGTCTGATTCATTAAAAAAATGATAACAAAAAATGATAATCAAACATGCTATTTTCAACACCTCCTGGAATTCGTCTCTTTTCTCCTGCATCTTCTGAAGTTCATTATCTCTCATCTCTTGCATCTCGTTTAGTTTTGTCACTGAAAATTCTGAATTCTCTATAAGACATTTCCACCAGTTCTACTGTACTGTATGTGGATGATGAGAGATTATTCTTTTCCCTTGGGGGGGAGATATTTTCTTGGTTTCGCATGTTTCTTGTGCCTCTGGGGTGGTTTCTGGTCATTCTGTGACAAAATCTCTCCTCCACTGTGCTTGGCAATGTGGTATCCACAGAAAGAGATTAGGAGTTCAGATTTATAAAAAGGAATTTCTTCCTTAAACCAGAGGTTCAATAAGCGTTGAGGATTTCAATGAATCTAAAAGTATTCGGATGCTTGGTTACTGTGCACCTAAGCCTATGTAGACATTCAGTGTGTGGAGGGTGAAGCTTAGAGTGGGAAAGTAAGGTTAAAAAAAAATAAAAGCAAAAAGCAAAGAAAAAAGAAAAGAAAAACTAGAAAAATACTACTAAAAAAAGAGGAAAAAAAATTTTTTTTACATGTAAAAAATAAAAACCTCGCAGCACACTAGCCCTGGGAACAGGCCAGGACACACTTCAGCTTTAAAATGGGTTCTGAAATTAGCAAGTGAAAGAAAAGGACCAAGGTGAGGAGAAGTGATTGAAATTTTTTTTTTTTTTAATTTAAAATGTAAAGAGAGAGAGAGTGTGAGATAGACAGAGACAGAGAAGGACAGAGGTTGCCCTACTTTGTTTGAATATTTCGGGAGTCTAGAAGATGGAGTTTAGAGCATAGCTTCCCTGAAAAGGCCAAGACATGCCTCAGCTTTAAAATGGCTTCTGAAATAAGCAAGTGAAAGAAAAGGCCCAAGGTGAGGAGAGGTGGTTGGAAATTAGAAAATAACAATTCGTTTTTTCTAAATTTAGAGTGAGAGCGCACTAGACAGAGAGAGAGAGAGACAGAGAGAGGACATAGGTCGCCCTACCTTATTTCAGGAGTCTAGAAGATGGATTTTAGAGCATAGCTTCCCTGAAAAGGCCAGGACAGGGAATCAGCAGTTAGCGTAATGGCTATGTCGCTGGACTCCCACGTAGTCAACCGCGGTTCGCATCCTGGACCCGGTGACTTAAAACTCACGCCGAGTGCATGTGCATGCGTGCCCAAGATCCCGAGAGGAGAATGGAGGAGAAGGGATTGCGGTGTGACCATTCCCCCTGGGGGGTGATTTCTCGCTTTCTGTCTCTATGTCTCTCTCTGTCTGTCCAGCGAGTGCATGTGCTCCCCCCGGGGGGTGATTTCTCACTTTCTGTCTCTATGTCTCTCTCTGTCTGTCTGGCGAGTGCACGTGCCCTATAGCGGAAAAACCTCTCCAAAAAAAAAAAGAGGCCAGGACATACCTCAGCTTTAAAATGGCTTCTTGTCTGACTATTTCAGAATTGAGTTTTTGATTTGAGTTTTGGAAATAATAACCTAACTTACTCTTTAAACGTTGATACTGATTTTAAACTCTTTTTGCTATGAAGTTGGTGTGTAAGTGTGTATTTATGAGAAAGAAAGATTCGCACCAAGTTTTATGCTCCCTTATCCCTAACTCAGCTGCTTAACACAGAGCTCTTGCTCTTGGGCTATCCCATCAGACAGCACCATCATTTCTGTTCCGACATTCGGAATGCTCAGGAATAGGTCCTTGTTCCCGCTATCATAAAGCCTGCTCTTTCATGTTTCTAAGAGATAATACACATTCTTTAAAAAACTTTATATTTACACATGTTGGATTCATGGACCACTTATCAAAATCTTCAAAAAAGAGGACAAACTTTCTGAGGGGATTCTTTATTACATAAATATATTTACATCGAGATATATACATACAGGACCACCCTTCTGTGCATTCACATGTAGTAGAGAGTAGTCAAGTAAACAGAGCCACTGGTTGGAAATAAATCTTATGGCACCTTTATTTTCCCTAACTACCTTCTGTTTCATGGGGATTGGCAAAAGTTAGGAAGACTTGTTCCAGTGTTATCTGACTGATGGAATAGTCTTCTAAATCAAATGCTTCTTTAACTCTCTCCAAAATTCCAAACACCTTTAATAACAACAAAAACAAAAGAGCACAGTTACCATTGCAGCCTCCCATTTAGCCCCAGTCCAGACAAACCTCTCTTCCACCTCCCCATCTCCTGTCAAATTTCTATCGGAGGAAAAAGGCCCAGAAGGGGGACATGGAAACACAGAAGAATCAGGAAATTGAGAAACCGAGAGGAAGCAGTTGTCTGGATTAATAATGGGATTTAGGGGCAGAAATTGAAGCAATTAAACTCCAAGAGTGTTTGAAAAGAAACCTATAGGCTCTGCTCCTCCCACAATGCTAGGCTCCCATTCCACATGCTCCAGTCCCAGATATTTCCCATCATCAGTGCTCACTTAACAGGGAACATTGGAAGGGCATGGTTTCTCTCCTCACCTTTCCCCAGCTATTGTCCTTCCTGGGAATGTAGTAGGTAAGAAGCCCTTGGTTCTCTTGTTTTAAGATGTTACCTAAGAAAAGAAAGCAGGACATGTGAATAATCTTGCAGATTTTATTTAAAATTGCCAAAATATTACTATGTATACTTAATTTTATAAACATATGGGGTAATACAAAAGATATGACTCAATAACCCACTTTCTTGGGTGTACATGACACAGCTAATGCTTTCAGATTTATTCCTGATGAAATAGTTTTATTATGTGGAGTTGACAGTAATTTTTAAAATTTATTTTTATTTTTATTATTTTTTAAAAACATTTGATTGGTATACATAATTTGACTTGTAAAGAGAATTTACCCAAGATGAAATACATCTCAGGCCAGTCCATGTTGAGAATACTACACACGCAGGCAGTAATTATTAAAGGCACAAAACTGTCAGCTCACGTGTCCAGTGTGAAAAACCCAAGCCTTCTAAATTTTATGTTCTCCCAAAGCTTTATTCCTAAACACAATGCTGAGACTATGTACTGGGAAAATGTTTCTCTTGGTTGTGTGAGTATGCTTGCATAGTGTGCTCGGAGGAGAGGAGAAGAGGACAAGGCTTCCTCCCTATTTTTGTGATTATGCGATCTCCATGCCATGTGAAAGAGAAAATTACAAATAAGGCAGCTAAATCAGGCTGTGTGCTTTTATCTCTTTTTTTTTTTTTTGGAGAGATTTTCCCTGTAGGGCGCGGGCGCTCGCCAGACAGACAGAGAGAGACAGAGAGACAGAAAGCGAGAAATCACCCCCCAGGGGGGATGGTCACGCCGCAATCCCTTCTCCTCCATTCTCCTCTCAGGATCTTGGGCACGCACGCACACGCGCCTGGCGTGAGTTTTAAGCCACCGGATCCGGGACACGAACCGCGGTCGACTACGTGGGAGTCCAGCGACATAGCCATTACGCTAACTGCTGGTTCCCTGCTTTTATTTCTTTTATATTTCAGTGAGAATCTACTCTGGAATAACAGGGAAAGGGGCTTATCCATTACTGATTCAGAACTAACACATGTGTTTACACCTTTTAGTGCATATGTATGGATTATGATCATTTAAATTAACAGAGATTAAAGATGTTTTTAAGTACACGTTTGTAATGGTGTGTATTTTTTCTTAATATTTAAGCATACATTTCTTCATGATCACATAACTCTTGTTTAAACATTTCAAATACAGAATTTAATGAGTTATTTAAAGGAAACATACGTGAAACTACACCATCCAGGTCCAGTAGTAATAACCCATAAACTCTCAGGTGCTACTTCCCAGGTTTTGTCCCCCATAAAAAGTAATCAGTGCCTTCGCTGTGATTGGGAGCATTTCTTCTTTACTGTAGTTTTATCTACGTATGTGACTCTAAGAATTGGGATTCGGATTTTCTGACTTTTGAATTTTATATGAATGGAATCTTCCAGAGTCTGTCTATTCTTTTCTTTCTTTGTCTTTATTCAATATTATGTTGTTTAAAAAAAATTATGTTGTTTCATTCATGTTGTTGCATATAGTTATTAATTAATTTGTTTTCATTCTTGCATAGTAATCTAGTGTATGAATATTCATCATTTATTTTCCATTTGGCTATTGATAAGCATATGAGTTGTTTCTGGCGTCTATTGTGAATATCACTGATTTAAATATTTTCCTTTTCTGGCACGGGATTCACGTACCTAAGGTACATACCTACTGATGGAATTTTCAGGCCATTGCTCTTTTTAAAATGATTGTACCTTGGTGTTACCTTGGAGACAGCACCCTTACATGTGTCATTCTCACCCTTACAACAAGGAAAGGCTGAATAAATTGGAAATTTGTGACTTTTCTTTAACCCATCAGTTCTCTGAATTGGGCAGAGAGTGGACAAGCACATGACCCAACATCTGCGGAGATGGCTTCAGGGAGAAATAGGACAAGATCCTTTGTTTAGACAAGGCAGATACTGCTGGATAGCCAATAAGCTGGAAATATTTAGCTCAATCTTTTTTTTTCATTTTTTAAAAAATTATTTTTATTTAACTTTATTTATCCACTCATTTTAATTAGACCAGAGAGGGATAGAGTGAGAGAGAGAGAGAGAGGCAGAGAAAGAGAGAAAGTGAGAAAGCAAGTCACCAGGTCCAGGACTTGAACTGTGGTCAGCCATGTGGGAGTCCAGCACTCTTAACCACAATGGCACCTGCCGGCCCCTAGCTAAATATCTTTTAAACAGATTACTAAAGACCAAATATTGGGCTGCATGAGAGTATGAACCTACGTGATTCACTTTAATTTAGCAGTGTTTTTAAATAAATGTAGCAGAGAGTTCGATTTTGCTTGATAGCCAATCTAAATTTCTCTTTTCATTTATTCAGAGAGTTAAGCCTTCCTATATTTATTGGTAGTACCAATATGTTCTACATAAGTTCCCCTACAATGTTCTGCAATGAGAACATTATAGATTCTGTATAAATAGAAATGCGTATTTGTACAATTAAGCATAACAACACACACATATATTCCCATTCTGGTTGGTTCAATTTCTTGTTACATTTTTTATATAGGAAGTTTTTTGTTGTTGTTGTTGTTCTAAGGCTAACTTCCTCCTTTGTACTAGCATCCATCATCTCCCTGTTTTTAAGATACTATATTTGGTTTCCATTATGAACAACACTGACCATGCTAATAAAGTCTTACTTCTCTCTGCAAACATCTAATGTAAAGTCATATTCTTTTATTACCAACTGATCACTAAAGTTCTCAGTAAACATATTCAATTTTTCAGATATTCCCTGCCTTCTTCCACCCCCATTTTAAATCACTGTATTATATATATATTTCTAAAGCATATATCAATTATGTGATATTTATCACACAGATACACTTCGTTTAATCCTAGTTTGAGAGGTACATTTATTTGATGTGTAGTTTTTTTTTAATTATTTAATTTTTTACCTTCCATCACTCTATATCATCACAGCATGTCAAATGAATATTCCCATCATGAATACACTATATATTGGTCCAGTCAAAGACATTACCATACACATTATCAACAGATAATTTTCCATTATTGTGTCCCTAAAATTTATGCTTCTTTCTTTTTACCATTGATTCCCTCCCACTCATCCTCCCCATTTCCCACCCTCCTCCTGCACTGCCTCTAGTATCACCATTGCTCTCCATGCTTTTATACCTTCCAGTCTTTCAGTTTCTGCATAGAGTGTCAACATTCGGTATATACTGAGTGGGGACATACAATGCCTCTCTTTCATAGTTTGACTTGCTTCGCTTAGTAGTAAATCATCCATATTTGTCCACTTTCTATCAAATGCCATGGTACCATTAGTTCTTATGAAGAAGCTATGTAATCTTTTTGTCATCATTCATCTGAATCTTTTCCTTCATAAATTCTTCAATGAGCCAATGACTACAGTATTCTGAGTTTTTATGTGTTGATGACTCTTTGTGATTTTTAATCTTTTTTATCATAAATTTGTCTAATATAGTTGCTGCCTTGCCATCTAATTTCAGATGCGACATAGTTGTTTGAAACATAGTTGTCACTTTAGGCCTACTCAAAGCGTCCCCTCCCCATGTGGCTGTATGTTAATGCAGCCAAATTGTTCCTCGTCCCAATGATCTCAAACCCAACACTCTACAGCTGCTAACCATAATAAAATCTAATGGTCTCACCCAGCCATGGTGGCACACAGATACCGCCACCACTTGGGATCCTGGATGCCACATGGGAGATCCAGGTTTGGTTCCCTGGCCAAGCTGAACATGCCAGGTATGGTTGTGCATACCTGTGATGCGAGCTGGTTGGGAAAGTGGGGCAGAAGAATCACAACGCAGTAAGAACCTGTCAAAAATGCCTATCTCTGACTTACTCTCTCTTTCTAGCTCTCTCCCTTTCATAAAGGAGGGAAAATAAACCCCATTGTGAATACTGGAATTATAATGAATTCATTTCCTTGTTCATATTTGTTCTTTTCCTTTTGTTTTTAATTTGTGAGAGGACACATGCACTCACTGAAGAAACAGACAGAAAGAAAGAGGAACCATGAGAGAGCACCCCCCCACCTCACCCCAGCCATGGTCATGACACAACATCTTCTGCTCCATCCCTCCCTTCTTTTGGGATTTTGGGGACACATGCATGCACATCTGGCATGTTGTTCAAGCTGCTGGGTCCAGAACTTTATCTGCATAGTCAGCCATGTGGGATCCAACTGGCTTAACCAGCAGGCCACTGGCTGGCCCTCACATGTGTTTTCTTTAAACCAGTCAATACACAAACCCCTGTAGAAAAGTCTGTGGATAATACCCATCAGTCTTAAAGGCACATCCCCACAGATTTCCTCTCTCTCTCAGTCTCCACCTGCAGGTTGAGCTTTCTGTCATTTTTGGCCTTCATATGGGCCCCTTCATGTGGGCCCCATTTGCGTCTGAAGACCTCAAACATGTCAGGCCCACTGTAAGCAATGAATTTCTAATTCTATTTCAAGCATGTTGGTTTTATTTCCTGATTTTTCTCACCTGAGGGACACAAGCAACTAAGACATTCTCCTTGTCATAGCTCTCCCAGAAAATGGTTTCTTTGGCTTACTGCCTCTTTCTTATTATTATTATTTTTTTATTATATTTCAAGTACGAGGCTTATCTTAAACTTAATAGTGGAAATTACTGTTCATAAAAACATATAGTAAATTACATTTTTTAGAAAAGATACAACAAAATCTTCTAAAACTCTGGACTAAAGCTTGATGTTGTCTTAAGTAAATAGAAAACAATAAAAATGTAGTTGTCAGCTGAGTTCCATCAATTTTTTACAATTCTCTTTGATCTTTTCTCCTGGTCTCCTGGTATTCTTTCTGCAGGCCGTTTCTTCAACCCCTTCATCTTTCTGATTTGCAGCTTGCTCAGGTCTTGCTTCTGCATATGAATCCTTCCGTAAGTTGTACCGAAAGTGTCATGAGAGATAATCTTCTTCTTTGGCTTGAGAGCTTTTGGCATTTTCATAGATAACTTATAGAGGTCATCTGATGCCAGGTATGTCCTCCTGAGAACCAGATCAAGTGACAGTCCCATCTCTCCCAACTCAATCCGTGGCGTTCTGCAACCAGATTTCTTTAATAGCAACTTAGAACTTTGCAGGTAAATCTTCTCATTCCATGTGGTGAAGCGCAGAACGTACTCTAATCCAGCCAGGTGGATATTTGATACTGTAGGACCCTATTTAAGAAAACCATCCGGAAGCCACAGCAAAGCCCCTTCCTCAGCATCAGGCCAGAGATCTGGTGGATGAGCCCCAGGAGGTCCCAGAGCTGGCCCCTGCCCTGGGCCTCCGCAGGTCGATCCTGAAGGAATGAGAATCTGCGCTGTGGAGGCAGCTCCTGGGTTCCCCACAAACACCTGTGACTTTTGGGACCAGCAGGTAGCGTAATGGCTATGTCGCTGGACTCCCACGTAGTCGACCGCGGTTCGAGTCCTGGACCCGGTGGCTTAAACTCACGCCGGGCGCGTGTGTGTGCGTGCCCAAGATCCCGAGAGGAGAATGGAGGAGAAGGGATTGCGGCGTGACCATCCCCCCTGGGGGGTGATTTCCTGCTTTCTATCTCTCTGTCTCTCTCTGTCTGTCTGGTGAGCGCACGCGCCCTAGAGCAAAAACAAAAACAAAAACAAAAAAAACTCTCCAAAAAAAAACCTGTGACTTTTAATCTTAAGCTTTACTTTTACACTGGAGGTAAAATCCTTGCTTGCATTTTCTGTCATTGGGTATCTTAAATCCATTAGTACTTTTTTATAAAATATGCACTCAGGCTTATTTTTTATCCCTGATAAATGGTTTGTCTTTTATTCTACACATCCAAATATCACTCTCCATTTTATTATTAAATTGCAATAGCTATATTAGAATATTTCTTGGTGTTATTGGTTGGAGGGTCACTTTTCTTTCAGGTGTATTGGTTGGCCTTTCAATAAGTAGATTTGCCTTCTTTCATTTCAGGGATTAAAAAAAATGAATGATAGTTGTTCCTGCTTCTCAATTTTATTATTTTATTTTTTTGTGACTACTTTCACAGTTGTTTTGAACAGTAATTGCTTGATTCTCTATTACTTTATCTCAAATGCTTTTCTATATTTCTGATTGATGCTTTTCTATTCTCCTTTCCAATTTCCATTCCCCTTTTGTACTTCCTATGTTGTCTATTTGCTCTTAATGAAATATTTTACTTTAAAAGACCCTCTCCAATGCTGTCTTCCCACATTCCTCTGCTGTCTAGTTATCTAATTTAGTAGTACTTCTCATTATGATCTAGAATTTTCTTTCATAGCATCTATCTCATTTGTAATTTGTTGAGCTCATACTGAAAGATAACAGTTTTAACTTGTTTTGTGGCAGTATATATCTGCTGTGTTTCCATTGTTAGATTTTTCTCATATCCTCTTTTATTTATGATTTTTTTTTGCAGGGTTCAATTATAATGTCTTAAATTGCTCACATTTGAGTGCGATAAGTTTTCTTGCATTTTTGGGAAAAGTTTCCTGTGTAGGAGTTGAGGTTGGACAAAATACTTTTCTTAGCTTTGCAGTGTTTTGTTTTTGTTTTTGTTTTTGTTTTTTTTGAGAGGTTTTTGCTATAGGGAGCGTGCACTTGCCAGACAGACAGAGAGAGACAGAGAGACAGAAAGCGAGAAATCACCCCCCAGGGGGAATGGCCACGCCGCAATCCCTTCTCCTCCATTCTCCTCTCGGGATCTTGGGTACGCACGCACACGCGCCTGGCGTGAGTTTTAAACCACTGGGTCCCGGACGTGAACCGTGGTTAACTACATGGGAGTCCAGCAACATAGCCATTATGCTAACTGCTGGTCCCTTTTATTTTTTTCTTTTTGTGAAAAAGCTTATAGGAATAAGCATTTCTCAAAGAACTCACTATGGAAGATAAAGCATTAATGGCACAAAGAGGTGTGGTGTTATCTGTTGAAGATATTTTGTAGTTTTATCAACAGTACTAGGGAGAAATGTTCACCTGTTGAAATATCCATTTTGTAAGACAAATAATAATGTGATTGAATGTATGGAAGAAAATGAAATGAAAATAAATAAATAAATTAATTAATTAATTTTTTTAAAAAAAGAAGTTAACCAATTTACCTGGGAAAGTCTTAGCAATAAATGTTTTTAACTCCTCTATCACCGTCTCATCTGCATCATTTTTTAACTTAATCTTCAGAATGTAGATATTACCAAACTTGTTCTTGAGGTGCTGAGGGCTGCCGAGGCACACAAACTTCCCCTGTACCATGATGGCCAGCCTGGTACAGAGGGCTTCACATTCCTCCATACTAGAAAAACAGAACAGCGGACTATATAAGGCTAAAATATCTCCACTGGAGGATAGGCTATAATTCAAACATCCAGTATTTTGTGACAGTCTGTAAAATGGCAAATTGCATTTGCCTATCATCAGGAACATGTGAAATGAAGATTTTTAAAAATTTAAAGTGGTAGAGGACCAGATCCTAAAATGGAATAGCTCCCGAACTTAGTGCCTTCTTCCCACTCTTGACTATTTAACTCAATGAGGATTCTTGGCCATTCCATTCAAGAGGATTAATAAGGAGCGCTCATACTCAGGCAATGTGGTCCAATATGGCAGGCCCCAAAGAACTCTCTCTTATAGCCACTATGACCCCTGCCAATGCTCAAGCCAGCCTCTCAATGAGCCTACCTGTGGGAGGTTATGATGATGACTTTGCCACTTTCACGAGCATGTGACACTGTGTTCCACAACAGGCGTCGGCTTACTGGGTCCATGCCAGTTGAAGGCTCATCCAGGAAGACTACTGAGGGTTTTCCCATTAGGGCAATTGCAGTACTCAGTTTACGTTTGTTTCCTCCACTTCATGGTCAAAGAAGAAGAGAAAAAATGGAAGAAGCACATGTGGCTATACATACCAGTAATTCTATACATAATACATCTATTTAATCCACATCCATTATTCAGAGGAAACAATTTGCCAAGGTTTCCAAAATGCTGAGATATAGGAAACAGTTAGTAGAGACATGAAAATGCTGATGATAGGTGACTCTAACAAGACACAAGAGCCAAATCCAGGTATATAAGTCAGTTTTTTTGTTCATTTGAAATGAATAAATGTGAGTTTTGCTTCCATAATTGATTTTAGCCACATTAGCAGTGAAATTTATATTCTTATTCTTGGGGTTCCTTGGTATTCCCAGACATATAAAGTTCATGGTGGCCAGTCCAGTACAAATAACCACATTTTTTCTTATTTGGGAGACAGAGCACCATAAAGAGGTGTGTGCGTGTGTGTGTGTATGTGTGTGTGTGTGTGTGTGTGTTGGGGAGGGGGGAGTAGAGAGAATGCTCTTTTATAATATTCAGTCTGCAATTAATATAGTACCAGGATTCTGAGTTTTGGGAGAAGAGCACCATAAAGAGGTGTGTGCGCGTGTGTGTGTATGTGTGTGTGTGTGTGTGTGTGTGTTGGGGAGGGAGTAGTAGAGAGAATACTCTTTTATAATTCAGTGGCTGCAATTAATATAGTACCAGGATTCTGAGTTTTGTCTCTGCAAAGGGAAGACATGATACTACCTAGGTCTGCTTTATGGCTGACCTCTAGATTCTGGGAGTACATTAGATAATTTCATAGTCATTGCCTCTGTTTTCCAGTGGAACTCAGGTTAAACTGCGAGCACTCATTCTAAAGAGCAGAAACACAAGGAAGCTCCTCAGTAACACTTGCAATGAGAGCACCAGTGTAATATCTCACCTGTAAGTGTAGATATACTTGTCAGCATAGGTTTCCAGATTCACTGATTTCAACAAGTTGTTCACATTAGCATTAATTTTGTTCTCAGCAATCCCCCACAACCTGGCATACATGATCAGTATTTCCCGGGCAGTCATGAAATTCAGCAAGGCATCAAACTGTGGACAATAGCCAATTTTTGACCTTACCTAAAATGAGAGAATAGTGATGAACATAAGCCGACTATCCCACTGAGTATACAGTAAAGACACAGACTACCCAAGCTCTCCAACCCTAAGGAGGGTTCATTCCCCACAAAGTTTTTGTGAAGAATTTCTTGTCCTCCAGTGATTGCAGAAGCATTGCAGTTAGAGGTTACTGTCATGTATTGGAACACAAAGGGTATAAGGTATGTGTCCGAGATAGATGTTTATAGGATGAAATTGTCTCCCTACTATATAGTCAAGCAGTGTGAAATAAATAAAAAGTAACTTAAAAATTAAAGAAGTTCATCTATTTACAGGAGTATATTCACCTGAAGAAGGGGAATGAGATTGAAAGAGTCTACCATTCATTCAATCTTTACCCATTGTAAGCCCAAAGGAAACTGACTGCGGGGAGCGGCGGGATGACCACATCACAATCCCTTCTCTTCCATTCTCCTCTTGGGATTTTGGGCATGTATGTACATGTGCCATGTGTGATTGTCTTTTCTTTCTTTTTTTTTGGGGGGGGGAGAGGTTTTTGCTATAGGGTGCGTGCGCTCGCCAGAAAGACAAGAGAGACAGAGAGTCTGAAAGCGAGAAATTATCCCCCAGGGGGGGATGGCCATGCTGCAATCCCTTCTTCATTCTCTCGAGATCTTGGGCACACATGCATACGTGCCCGGTGTGAGTTTTAAGCCACCAGGTCCAGGACTCAAAGCGTGGTCGACCACATGGGAGTCCAGCGACATAGCCATTCCGCCATTCTACTAATTGCTGGTCCCCCATGTGTGATTTTCAAGCTGCCAGATCCAGAACTCAAATCACAGTTGGGAGTCCATGTGGGAGTCCAGTGCCTTAGCCACTAGGTCACCTGCTGGCCCCAAGAGTGTACTCTTAACTCACAAGTTAAAAGAACTCATTGCAATAAAATATTTTAAACAGTGTGGGATGTAGTAAAGAGGCCACTTTAAAGAAAGAACAGCAATAAGTGAGTTAAATAAATTATGTCAAAGTCAACTCAAAGCTATAGAAAGAACACAGATTCATGTATTTGAATTCTTGGCTTCATTTTGTAAATGAGCCATTTTATAAGAACTAATAAAGAATGCTATATAGAACATGTTTTAATACCTCTTTGAAAATACTGGAAAGTTGTCACTGTGCTACAACTAAATTAGAAATAACACTATAAACATAGTAGTAGATAAAGGAAATATTATATATATATATGGGAAATATATTGCAATATATACTACAAATCTCTAGCAGGCTAAGCTCTAGCTAAATAATTCTTCCTAATGGCAAACTTGTTAGAACAGGATACTCTGCATGTTTCAAAATGGTTCTTTTTCCTTTCGTCCTACAGATAGTCTGAGGAGAACCGCAGTGGGGCAGGAAACCCTGAATCGTTATTGACACATTGCCAGAGGCTTAGTGTGAACAAATATTAAGCATCAAAAACTCTCCTTGGGGACACAGTCATCTGGAAAACCCCAGTTTCCTAGATTTTACCTCCTGGAGCTCCACCAGGTTCTCACAGTGATTATCAGAGAAAAATCCCTTTGAATCATTCTAATAATTTAAAAGAACACAAAAGATAATCTTGACAGATCCTCTGGGTGAAACTGCTTTTCTTGCCTTACCATCTTTTCTTAATAATGAATTTCTCTTTCCAGAATCCACTGGCCAAATCAACAGTATCAATTTCCATGCCTACCATGATTCTTCTCCAAGATCTCTCACTACCTGTCTCTCACCTCCACTTCTACCTCCAAGTCATCATGCTTTTCACCTCTCAGACAGTAATGGGATCTTACCTTTAGGAGATTTTTGGTGATGCTATAGCCTTTAATGAATACATCTCCAGAGGTAGCAGTCTCTTCTCCAGTCAAAATTTGGAAAGTACTTGTTTTTCCAGCTCCATTTAATCCAAGCAATCCAAAGCACTCCTCCTTGTGGATTGCAAGGGAGATATTTCTCACAGCCAAAATGGCCGGACATGTAAAATATATCTTAAAAATAAAGAAAAGGTATATGCATATAATATTACATATATATATATATATATATATATACACACACACACACACACACACATACACACACACACACACACACACACACACACATAGTAAAGAATACTTGAAGGTCAAGTCTGTATGATTTACCCTAAAACTCAAACAGTTTCACAAGAGCTCTTATTTTACTTAGATGATGTTTATAGAACCACAGTGAGCTCTGAGCACCAATGGCATGATCTCGAGTACAGATGAAGCCAGCATAGGTTGACTAATGAATGATGTTACCTTTGTGAGTTCTTTAATTAGCACTGTGGAGTTCAGCAACATCTGAGGGTTGTTCAGCACTCTCTCTCTTTCATTTTGTACATCTTCATCTTCAGATTCCCCAGATAATTTCTCAGACACTATAGCCTATATTTTCAAGACAAAAATCACAGAGGTGGGCGCCCTTTAGGCATGTGGTCTAAACTGGATGGCTTCAGGAAGACTAAACTGAGATAATTCCAAAGATGTCAAAATGAAAGTCATTTCCAAGGGACTTCCTGCGTATTACTTAAGCTCTCATATACACTTATTTTTTATTTTCAAAGTTTAGGAAGTAGGCTTCTAGCCATGAGCAAGCAGCCAGTCTTTATCAAAATGGACACTACATAAAACTATAAGCACAAGTACCATTCATTATGATCAAATATTATTTGTTAATAATAAAATATATTCTAGAAGATACCAATAAAGCAAGAGTAGGGAAAAGATGAACTCATTCTTCTCTAAAATAAAGATGAGCAATGAGCTTAATACAGTAATTGTTTGAGTTGAATTAAAAAAAAAATAAATAAGAGTTTGCCGGGAGACTTACAATGGGGAAGAGAGAAAAAGGGTAGGGCATTCCACGCAGTGGAAAAGTGTAAAAGAAAACTCTAAGGCTCAACCATACTTCCTTTTTTATTTTAGATTTATTATTATTCTCTTTATATTTTATTGCACTTTTTATTTTGTAAGAATTTAGACTGACAAAGGAATTCTAAAAATAAGACAGTTTCAGTATACCGTTTACCCGTATTCTAATAGTATCATTCTACATAACCATGATGCATTGTTCAAAACAAAGAAATTAACATTGGCTCCATTATAAGATGGTACTTCAAAAAGTTTGTAGAAAAATGGCATCAAAGTATGAGTTTATTTTGGTGCAAAATGTTTGAAATCCACACAGAATTTTTATCATATGCATTTTCCATGAACTGTTGAAGGTCCTCTTGTATTAACTACAGCTCTTATTCAATTTCAGTGTAAACTTTTAAAAATACTTTAAATGCCATTTTTAGCATAAAGTATTAATTAAAGCATAGCATTTATCCAGACAAGTGTATAAATTATAAATTTCATCTCAGCAAATTTCCATAACTTACATACTTGATGAAACCTGTTCAGCTACCCTAGAATAAAGAAAACAGAATACTATACCAACAGTAACTACATACTTGTAAACCATCCATATTATTATATATCAGTTTTAAAACTTTGTGTAAATGGAATTCATTGCATGTATGCTTTTATATCTGGCTTCTTTTTGCAATATTATGTTTGTGAGATTACTCCATGCTGTGGTACATGAGTTATAGGCTAGGCTAATGTACTGTATTGTGAGGATACTTTTTATTTTTAAGAGAACGAGAGAGAGAGAGAGAGAAAGTGAGAAATCTCCCCACACAAGTCCTCCAAGGCAGATAACCACACCACAAACCCTTTTCCTCCAATCTCCTCTCAGGACTTTGGGCATGCACATACATGCACCCAGAGTTTTTTTCAGGCTGCCAGGTTTGGAACTCAAATCACAGCGTTGGCCATGTGGGATCCAGCCCCTTAACTAGCATGTCATCTGCTGGCCCCAAGAATAACCATTTTTCAATCCATTGTACTACTAACAAATGTAGGAGTTGTCTCTTTTTCTGTCTTTTTCTGTCTTTCTGGCTTGACTCCCTGGTCCCTAGACTTCATCTGTTGGGAAACTCCCTACATATTTTTGTAGATTAATTTTTTATCTGAATGACAGGGTCTTACGGGTGCTGGATACCAGGTGCTCGCTCCACTGGTGTTATCAGGACTGGACCTGTTTAGCAGCTGTCCCATTTCTACAGGCACATTCTGGATACTCTCTACCTTTTATGCTTCATTTCATCCCACTATTTCTTTCTTCTACATACACGCTGTCTTGAGCACCTTCAGAGTCAGACTTCTACCAGACAATGTAAGAAAAGCCATAGTGGAATGGCAAGAATTTAGACTGAGGTCTTAGCTAATGGAAGAGTGATCTGTTTCATCTATTTTAATAACAGAGAGGCCTCTTTTACTTCAAAATACGGCTTCCTCTAAAATACTTCACACAGTAGTTCTCAAAGTGTGGAACAGAAGCAGATGAGTCCCCTGCTGGGTTACACATGAAAATTTTCAGGTATTACCCTGGATCCACTAACTCAGAAAATTAGAGGATAGACACTAACAATTTGTAGTTTAACAAGCCCTCCAGATAATTCTGATAAATACTAACATGTGAGGACAACTACTGTAGAAACTTACAATTAAATGTGTGTGCCCACAGAATCAGTATCACCTGGAAGTTTTTAGAACAATATAGGGGTCAAATTAGGATGAATGGGAATTTTGGGGAGGAAATGACTGCCTTATATAAGAGCTGTTTGAGGGAAATATTTCTATTATAATCAATCCACCAAAAACAACTCTGACAGGTAGAGGTCATGATGTTTGGAAACTACAAAGTTCAAGTTATAATGCAGATGTCCGATTCACATAGATTCTTAATCAATATGGATTGGTTTATTTTCCTACAGCCAGTAATGTAGTTAAGCAAGTACAGAGATATTCTGGTCTTAGCATTGAATTTACAGTCCATGCTCACCTTATTAATTGTCTTGTAGATACCAAAAAATATATAGCGAAAGATAAAGGTTTTCAGTCTCCATAGGGTGGTATCCAGAAGGAAAATCAAGAAAAAGTAAACAGCTCCTGTGACAGCCATTGCAATGACATGCTTTCCAATTGCATTTTCTTTCAAGCTATATACTTTAAGTGCAGTAACTGATGACAAGAACAACAAAAATATATGGGTTACTAAAAAAGGAGGGGGGGGGAGAGAGAGAACATTGCCCTCAAGCACTTCCCCCACAGGGTCTGAATGCACTACGATTTTTTTTTACTTTGGGCATGCACATACATGCACCCAGAGTTTTTTTCAGGCTGCCAGGTTTGGAACTCAAATCACAGCGTTGGCCATGTGGGATCCAGCCCCTTAACTAGCATGTCATCTGCTGGCCCCAAGAATAACCATTTTTCAATCCATTGTACTACTAACAAATGTAGGAGTTGTCTCTTTTTCTGTCTTTTTCTGTCTTTCTGGCTTGACTCCCTGGTCCCTAGACTTCATCTGTTGGGAAACTCCCTACATATTTTTGTAGATTAATTTTTTATCTGAATGACAGGGTCTTACGGGTGCTGGATACCAGGTGCTCGCTCCACTGGTGTTATCAGGACTGGACCTGTTTAGCAGCTGTCCCATTTCTACAGGCACATTCTGGATACTCTCTACCTTTTATGCTTCATTTCATCCCACTATTTCTTTCTTCTACATACACGCTGTCTTGAGCACCTTCAGAGTCAGACTTCTACCAGACAATGTAAGAAAAGCCATAGTGGAATGGCAAGAATTTAGACTGAGGTCTTAGCTAATGGAAGAGTGATCTGTTTCATCTATTTTAATAACAGAGAGGCCTCTTTTACTTCAAAATACGGCTTCCTCTAAAATACTTCACACAGTAGTTCTCAAAGTGTGGAACAGAAGCAGATGAGTCCCCTGCTGGGTTACACATGAAAATTTTCAGGTATTACCCTGGATCCACTAACTCAGAAAATTAGAGGATAGACACTAACAATTTGTAGTTTAACAAGCCCTCCAGATAATTCTGATAAATACTAACATGTGAGGACAACTACTGTAGAAACTTACAATTAAATGTGTGTGCCCACAGAATCAGTATCACCTGGAAGTTTTTAGAACAATATAGGGGTCAAATTAGGATGAATGGGAATTTTGGGGAGGAAATGACTGCCTTATATAAGAGCTGTTTGAGGGAAATATTTCTATTATAATCAATCCACCAAAAACAACTCTGACAGGTAGAGGTCATGATGTTTGGAAACTACAAAGTTCAAGTTATAATGCAGATGTCCGATTCACATAGATTCTTAATCAATATGGATTGGTTTATTTTCCTACAGCCAGTAATGTAGTTAAGCAAGTACAGAGATATTCTGGTCTTAGCATTGAATTTACAGTCCATGCTCACCTTATTAATTGTCTTGTAGATACCAAAAAATATATAGCGAAAGATAAAGGTTTTCAGTCTCCATAGGGTGGTATCCAGAAGGAAAATCAAGAAAAAGTAAACAGCTCCTGTGACAGCCATTGCAATGACATGCTTTCCAATTGCATTTTCTTTCAAGCTATATACTTTAAGTGCAGTAACTGATGACAAGAACAACAAAAATATATGGGTTACTAAAAAAGGAGGGGGGGGGAGAGAGAGAACATTGCCCTCAAGCACTTCCCCCACAGGGTCTGAATGCACTACGATTTTTTTTTTCTCTCTCTCTCTCCACTTCTACATCTCATCAGGATCCTGACCATGCCTGAACGTGCCCGATGTGTTTTTCAAACCATCAGGGCCTGGATTTGAACCTGGCTGGCCATGTGCAATCTGATTCCCCATGCATAGCATTTAACCTTGGCCCTACGAGGCAGCCCTATCAATTTCTGTAAGTGTATTTTATTCATGATAGAGAGCATCTGCGTATGCATGGGAACAAGAGAAAGAGAGAGAGAAACTAGGAGAGAAGCACACACTCAACAGGGCCTTGCCACACCACGGTCTCCTTTTCCTGGCACTCCAACTTATCTGGATCTTGGGCATCCAAGCACAGACACTTCACGTTTTCAAGCCAGCCAGGGGATCTGAACCTGCGGTTAGCCATGTGGCCTTCAACACTGTAGTTCAGTTTGCTACAGGCTAAGCCTCTATTGGTTCTTTTGCAAGAAGAGTGTTGAACTCTCCAATTATAATTGTGGGTATATTTATTTTTCCTCTTATTTCTCTAAATTTTGGCTTTGATTTTCCTACTTTCCTTTTATCAATTTATGAGTCATGTGGCTTCTTGGGCATATCCTTAGTATACTTCACATTCTTATTTTTTCTGCAAATTGTTCTGACTGTATTTCATGGGCTAGACATGGAAGCGACACATATGATTGTCATCTTACCCTGCCTTATGATTTCACTAGCTTTTATATGGAATCATTCTCCTTTCACATTTTCCCCCAAACCCACCTGCTTAAGTTTATTAGTATGACTGCATTTTGGGTTCAATGCTTAAATTCTGTGTCCCTTCAAAACTTGTTGGTGTCTGTGTTATGTAGGACCTGGTTTCAGTACTGCACACACATGTAATAATGAACACCAGGCCACTGTCAAGGACTCTGACAGACAGGAATACTTAGTCCTTCCTTTACATTCAATTTTCTTACATTTTCTGTTGCCTTCATTTCTGCTTCTCTTTTATGTTTTAGTGCTTTTTACCAAAATAGCAACTTCTCTAAACATTAATTACTCATTAAACAAACATCTGTTTCTATTATGAGCTGACCTATTAAATAATTGAAGAATTTAACCTTCATCTGGCACCTTCTCCTCCAAAATGATGGTTTGGGGAAAAGAGATGACAGAAATGTAAATATAATGTAAATACAATATAGATCCTCGCTATGGAGATTCTTTCCCATAGAGAAAATGCTTTATGCATAAAAGCTTTGAATTTTACCGCTATCTTGTACCAGTTGTACGACATAGGCAAGTTATTTACAGTTGTGTAAGCTTTAGTTTTTGCTCAAAATGAGAATAGTAACACATAACCTGATAAGTTATTATAAAGATCCACAATAATGTAGCCAGAGTTATTCATGTGTAATAAGAATGACTGCTAATAACTCCAGCGAGCCTTGGCAAGCCCCAGATACTCACATTCTTTACAATATGTGGATTGAGGAAGACCTTTCAAGGAGGAACACATTCTCTTTATATCTTGAATATGATAAAATCTGAAAATACTCATCCCAAGGTTATAAATGGGTATTGTCAGGAGTGAATGACGTACAACTTTATTAGTATCTGAGCCTGTGATTCAAAGATAATAACATTAGCATGCTTTATATGAAATTAACCGTTGCAGCCAAAAAAGAAAACTCCAAACTGATCAATTTAAATTGAGAAAATTACAAAGTTCTATTATTACCCTCATAAAACTCCAATTTCTTGCCACTAGGTATAATGCCCCTGATGTCTTGAGACATAGTTCGTGTTGATAATTACGGCTTTGGGAATTCTATTTTTTTTAATCTTTATACATAGAATCTTTCTGTTACCTAATGAAAGTAGGAAGCCAATACTTATTATTTCTCACATTTCTTATCATATGTGCTCAATAAAGAAGCAAAACTGTAATAAGAAATTTATCCTAAGGCTCACCAGGAGGAAAGATATAAAGTATATTTCAATTGATATTAGAAACATATTCAGAGAAACAAGCTTAACGATAATGAAGTTTTCTCTAAATATTAAAGTAAGTGTGTGTAACATGTATCATACATATTAGCCACTGTTATATACATTTACTTTAATATTTAGAGAAAACATTATCTTTGAAACAAGGCTAAAGGATTAAGCTTCTAAATTGTCATTGTAGGTCTTCAAGACTGAGTTCAGATTATTTGAAATAAAGATAAAATAGTAAATCTGAGCACAAAGCATATCTGTAAGATGCGTTGAGAGAAGAGAGTTGGCCATCTCAGCAAAGGTAACACACAATGAGGTGAGTTTCTGCCTCTAAGTGGTCAAGTCATAACCAGCCTCCTCCAAAAAGGATCATAATTGGTCTAGATACATATAATGAGGTAGCCAGAAACAGTTCTGGGCATTGGTAATGTGAATAAATGCCAAAAAGTAGCAAGAGTAATATCATATATTAAACCATTTACTCTCTGTAGAGTATACAAACATCCTCATATCACTGAGAAGTAGAAGAAAATCATTCTAAAAAAAGAAGAATAAAATGATTCCTTAGCTACTATATGGGAGGAAAATAAAATTGACAAAAATGTGTTCTAAAGGCATGAATAATGTTTTTGGAAATATTTATCCTCTGGTAGAGTGTGTGTACTAACCAATAAAAGCAGCATACCAACAAATCAGACTGTATACAAACCAGACAGTCTGGCCATCTGGTGCATACTGGCAGAATACTGACCCTCTCTGCAGGATTCTAGAGAAAGGCATAATTGCTGTCTCTGTTTTGATTTGTCACATTGTACATTCTCCGTTATTTCTTATAATATCAGCCCAATCTCCATGACAGTTTCGGAACAATGAGTTTGGTCTCTCTCTTTTTGATCTCATATCCCTTATTTTTCTCTATTATTGCACTGACCAGGAATTTAGGTATAATGTTGATTTTAAAGGGAATGTTTTATATAGCAGTACATTTTCGAAAATACATTTTTTTTTTTTTTAGTTTGCTATAGGGCACATGTACTTGCCAGAGACAGAGAAACAGAGAGGAAGAGAGAGAGAGAAAGTGAGAAATCACCCCTCAGAGAGTTAATGGCCACACCATAATCCCCTTTCCTCTTGGGCGTGCATGCATACATCACATGGCTGGTTTCTCAAGCCACTGGGTCCAGGACTTGAACCATGCGATCAGCCATGTTGGATCTGCCACACCACTTGGCTGGCCCTCAAATACATTTTATGATACTAGGGGAGTTCTTTTCTTAGTTACTAGGAAATTTTATAATGAGTCATTATTGTTTTCATTTTTTAAATGTTTATTTCTTCCATGAGAGAAACAGACAGAACGACAGGGTTTTCATACCATGATTCGCCCCCAGTCTCAGCCAGCCCGGCTATATAGGGAGGTCCAGAGATGCAACCCAGGATCTTCTCATGTCAGTCCAGTTGGATTACTGTTGTATTGCCATCTGGATGTTTTTGAATGATGTTTTTAGTATATATCAAGATTTTTCCCTACTTACTTATTAGGATGATGAATTACATTAACAGGGTTTGGAAGTTCATTATTAATTCATTAAACTTACCCTCCATTACCAGGAAAAACCTGAGTTTGGTTAAAATGAATTAGCTTTTCCTGGAGCCAGCAGATGGTGTGGTGGTTAAGTGTGCTGGACTCCCACATGGCCAACCGCAGGTTGAGTCCCAGACCTGGTGGCTTGCTTTCTCACTTTCTCTCCCTCTACTTTCTCTGTCACTCTCTGGTTAAATAAAATAAATAAATACATTAAAAAATAAATTATAATAAAATAATTCTTAAAAGGTGAATTCGCGGGACCAGCAGTTAGCGTAATGGCTATGTCTCTGGAATCCCACGTAGTCGACTGCGGTTGAGTCCCGGACCCGGTGGCTTCAAACTCACTCTGGGTGTGTGTGCATGCGTGCCCAAGATCCCAAGAGGAGAATGGAGGAGAAGGGATTGCGGCGTGGCCATCCCCCCTGGGGGGGGTGATTTCTCGCTTTCTTTCTCTCTGTCTCTCTCTGTCTGGGGAGCACACGCGCCCGATAGCAAAAAACCTCTCCAAAAAAAAAGGAAAAATTAAAGGTGAATTCGCTTTTTATATATTTTGTGGAGTTCGGTCTACTAATATTCTGTTTAAAAAATTTTGCATCTAAATTAATGAATAATGTTAGTTTACAACTTTTTGTCCTCTGTTCTTAACTATTTGTGGTTTCAGAGATATATTAACTTCATAGAATGAGTACAGAAGCTGTTTTGCCCATTCTCTACAAGAGTTTGTATTAGATTAAAATTACATGACTTTTTTGAATATTTAAACTTAGTAATACAACAATATAGGTCTCTCTCTCTTTTTGTAAGGTTTTTGCCATAGGGCATGTGAGCTCATCAGAGGCAGAGAGGAAAAGTGAGAAATCACCCCCCAGGAGGTATGGCCATGTTGCAATCCCTTCTCCTCCTTGTACTCCTGGCCTTTGGGGCATGTACACAGGAGCCCCTGGTATGATTTTCAAACTGGCAGTCCAGGACTCATTCAGCCATGTGGGAGTCCAGTGCCTTAACCATCATGCCACCTACTGGCCCTGCTTTTAGAAATATTTTAAACTCCAAGAAATGAAGATGAAGGAAATGTGACAAGTAATAAAATGTTACATCTGAAAAAAAAATTTTTTTAATTCATTTCTTGAATGGTTTTATAGGACCATTCACATCTAGTTCTTAAGTGTTGGGGACTTAATTTTTACACAATTGCATCTAATTAGTCTAAATTTTTAGGTAAGTTGTCTTAGAAAGATTTATTATATAATTTTGTCTTAATGTCTGCAACATCTATATTTATGTTTCTGTTTTATTTCTAATACTGCTTATTTGGATCTTTTTAAAATCTTTATCAGCTTACCAGAATTGTGCTGGTATTATAATCTTTCTGAAGATTAGGTACTTAGTCTTTGTCTATTCATTTGCCTCTAATGTTATACCTTAAAGCTAATTGTTAGTTCACGTCCAACTATTTTCTAATTTCTATTTTGATTGCCTTGTTGCTTACAAATGTAGTTTTCTAATTCCAAATAAGCTGTTCTATTAATCATTTTTTTTTTTTTAGAGATTCTTGCTATAGGGCATGTGTGCTCACCAGAGAGATAGAGAGATGAAGAGACAGAAAGCGAGAAATCACCTTCCAGAGGGAGGGCCATGCTGAAATCCCTTCTCCTCCATTCACTTCTTGGAATTTTGGGCACACGTGCACATGCGCCCAGAGTGTTTTAAGCTGCAGGGTCTGGGACTCAGACTGACTACATGGGAGTCCAGTGATGTAACCCTTATGCCATCTGCTGGTCCTTCTATTAGTTTTATTTTATTTATTTATTTTTAAAATAATCTCATGAAATAAATTAAAGAGTGTTTTTCTCCTCTTTTATTTTCAAAAAAATTTCATGTAGTATCAACACTTTTTTCCTCAAAAGTTTATAAGACTATACCAGTGAAATAAAATGAACTTGGAGTATTTTTCTGGTAAAGTTTTGGTAACAAATTCATATAGATATATATTTTTAGTCTCTTTTTTCTCTATTCTCCCAATTACATAGTCTCAGTTGGTCATTTTTTTAAATATCTTTTTCTTACATAATACCAAAATGCCATCAAGTCAGTTCAATAATATTTTATTTCAGTTTTACAATTCACTTTTCATAGTTTCTATGTCTATGCTGAAATGTCATATTATTCATTAATAGAACTATTTTCATTAAACCATTAACTATTGAGCATGGTTATAATAACTACTATAAAATCTCTATTGGTTTATTTCAACATTTGTGTCACTTACGGGTCTGTGTTTTAGAGAATTCTTTTGTTTTACCTTTTGTCAGACTTCTCCTATTCTCCCTTGAACTTGCATAGTTCAGAGGTCAGTTAGAGATCTGGGTATATCTTGTATGGATAATTTGGAGTGCCTTTTGGTGGCCTACTTTTCTTTCACTTCCAAAATGCTATGATCCTCTCAAATTGACCTCTGGTTTCTCAACCTAACATTGCAAATTTTTTTGTTTTGGGTTTTTTCTTTCTTTCTTTCTTTCTTTTCTTTTTCTTTTCTTTTTTCTTTTTTTATTTTTTAATTTTGCTAGAGAGTGTGTGCATTTACCAGAAAAAGGGAGAGGGCACTCACCAGACACGGTGAGAGGGAGAGTGAGAAATTACCCCCCCACCCCCAGGGAGATAGCCATGCCTCAATCCCTTCTCCTCCATTCTCCCTCCTGGGATTTTGGGCATGCACACATAGGCACCCAGCATAATTTTCACGCCACTGGGTCCAAGTCTCATACCATGGTCAACCATGTGGGAGTCCAGCATCTTAACCATCATGCCACTTGCTCCCCAACTCCCACCTTATGCTTTTCAAGCCTCTGGGTTGGAGACTCTGGAGATAAAGATGACCACGTGGGAGCCAACCCCTTTAACTGGGTCACTTGCTGACCCACATTGCAATTTTTTGTTAGAAACTATCCGATACTCTCAAAAAAGAAGGTGAAAAAAAGTTATAAAAATGGGAAATTCACATTTTGTTTTCCTAAACTTTCTTTGTTTTTGACTACTTTTATTCATTATAAAGTGTCTTTAGATTTTAAATAGTTTGTTCATAGTTTGTAATCGTTATGTGTGGCAGAATTGACCCGAAACAAATTCCTCCACCATTATAGGTAGTAAAGATGTGTATTCTTGGGCTGCATAAATGTTACACACAATCATTAGATTTATTGCTGGCCAGGTTAATGCCATGTTAATAATCTTCTTAAGTTTCATTTTGTAAATTAATTGTATCCACTAACTTTTCAAAAGTCACTCATTAATCTCATAGATTTATCTATAATTACTTTAGATTTTCTGTATATACAATAATGCCAAATAACAAGTTATATATTTTTTGCAATATTTAAATTTTTATTATTTTCTTACCTAATGAGTGACTAAAGCCTCTGGTACCATGCTGTACAATGATAGCATCTTTGACTCATTCCCAAATTCAAATGGAAATTTTTATAAAATGCAAATCTTATTTTTTAAAAAACTTCTTTTTTAAACAAAATTTATTTAACTCTATTTATTTATTTATTCATTCGTTTATTTCAATTTGACCACAGAGGGACAGAGTGAGAAAGAGAGAGAGAAAGTGAGAAAGCAAGCCATCAGATCTGGGACTCAAACCTCAAACCACACTTGGTCATGTGGGAATCCAGCGCCCTTAACCACTATGCCACCTGCTGGCCCCTAAAAAAAAACTTGAAGTGAATAAAAAGGACCACTGCCTAGCTTTTGTATGAGGCTAAAATAATGATGATACCGAAATCTAAGAATATTATAAGAATGGCAAATTACAGGTCAATTCACCTCATGGACATTAGTATAAAACTTCATAATAAAATATTAACAATTTGAATCTAGAAATGTACAATAAAGGGTAATACAACCAAGTTTTACTATTATAAAAATACAGAGTTGGCTTAACATTAAAAAATAATTAGTGACTAACACCACATTAAAATAAAGAAGAAACAGAATAGAGGTTATCAGGGTCTACAGAGAGAAATGTAAGGGAAGTTATTTTTTGTGGGCACAGAATTTTTGCTTAGGAGATGAAAACATGCTGAGTATAAATAGTGGTGGTAGCTACAAAATGTTGTGAATGTGTTCAATGCCACTGGCATGGGATAAATTATATTCTTATTTTGCACATAGCCACAATAAAAATATATTACAACAAATGTACACAAATGATTTTTTGTAAATACAATAAATCAGATCAAGAATCTTTCCTAATTTTTAAGTTTGTTAAGAGTTTTTATAATATGGGGCCAGCAGCTGATGTGACAGGTGAGGCACTGGACTTCCACATGGCCAACTGTGCAATCTGAGTCCCAGACCTGTGGCTTAAAAATCATGCTGGACACATATGCATACATGCCCAAAATCCTGAGAAGAAAATGAAGGAGAAGGGATTAAGGTGTTGCCATTTCCCCTGGCGGGGAGGTGGGAGTGATTTCTCACTTTCTGTCTCTCTCTGGCAAAGAGTGCATGTTCCCTATAAGGAAAACTAGAAAAAAGAAAAGATAAATACTCTACAAATCCTGGGCAAATAAGGCCTTGAAGGAATAGGACTGATTTAGTGATAATTTTAGTGAGGGAATTTATTTTGTATTGCAATTCAACAAAATGTCACATTAATGGCACTTAATAAAACATTGTTAACTTACAACTAACCCAAGTTTATTTTTTTCTACAAACCAAGAACAAAATAGCTTCATAATGTTATTATCAAACTCATTTTTCTTTATTTATTTACAGGAAGGCCCTGCAAAATGAAAATTGTGTGAGTCCTTACCTTTTAGGGTTAGTAGGATATCTGCAACTATAGCAGAAGACCCTGCAATCAAGTTCAAGATCATAATCTTGATGTATGCACCGGTACTACTAGAAAATAGGAAACTTAATAGGTATATAAAGGGAATAACAGACCAGCCAAATATCATTAAGATGAATAATGTATGCATAAAGTTGTAATTCTCGATCAATAAATCCACTCCTGCGATTATAAACACCACCTAAAACAGAGTACAGAGTAAAGTCAAAATGAAGAAAACTTTGCATGACCTAAGAACTCAAGTCTGAAAACTTAAGAGTAGAAGAAATCTTCCTTTATTTTAACATAGAACTATTCCTTAATTAAATAATGTTGTTTAGGAACATTATTGCAAGGTGCTTCTGCACTCTACTTCCTTGCCCATCGTTTTTTTCTACTTTAGAACGGTTTTACTTTTGCTCTGCTTGAACAAAATCAAAATGCATTCTTTTTGCCTACTTTCAATATTTCCAGAAATCAGATCACCTAGTAGGAAACTACTAGATTATATATACATATATATTCTGTAAACCACAGTACCAAGGGATCTACTTTTTACCACTCTCTATTTTTAGATTCTGTCACCTCTACTGTATTTTACCACATCTCTCCCTATATCATCCACTCAGTTGAGAAAGACAGGAAGAGGAGGACATAGGAAGAAGTTAATCTAAGCAAAGAGAGAGAAAACCTATAGAGCTATTAAGGAAAATAAATTTCTAGAAGTCATCTTATTAGCTACTAATTGTGGTTTTCCTAAATATTCCAAGACTACTGTTTTGAGCTATTAAATGATTACATAGCAGGATCCTTGAGAAGTAGACAGTAGGTGGCTGCCGGGCCTGCGCGTGGCCCCCCCGGCCTGCATGTGGCCGCCGGCTGCAGGCGGCAAACTGAAGCCGAAAACAAGGATTAAGAACTTGCAACTATAAGCAACAGAAAGAAACTTTAGTTGTCTTAAACCAATTGAGAAATATATTGTATAGGAGGATTTTCTCTACCTATGGACAGTGAGAAGATGATGGTTACCAGCCCTGCATTACCTCAGGGAAAAACAAGAACTACCCTACCATTCTTAAGGAAGCCAGATACCCGAGGATAACTCATGCTGCAGATCCCCACAACACCATTCCCGGTAATTACAAGATGGCTGCTGTGCCGCATCAGCTGATAATCATCTCTGCTTACCAGAACCGCTTTCCTGAAACTGCATTCCATGGAGACTCACCTACAATTGCAGAACTGCACGAGACCCATCCTTAATCCAACCCTGAATAGAATCTATGTTCCCTATTGTTAAAAACTTTATGAGCTGATAATTGAAAAAGAAAAAAAAAATGAAGTAGACAGTAGGATTAAAAGAGCTCCTATATGATGGTGAACTATTCTCAATGGTAGTAGACAAAGCAGCAAAGAAATAAGCATACAATAACTTAGGTAAAAATGTTAGGGTGCTCTAGATATAGCTGCTTTGTTTCTGTCACAGTAGATGTTTGGTCTTAAGAGAAATGGAATAAATAGGACCACCTACTCAGAAGTCCATGAGACCTCAACCCCAGTGCTAGTCAGGGCAGAATCCATCCAGACATGTACATCTCTGCCTCTGGTGTCCCTTCTGGGTTCAGCTTCATGGTTGTGAAGTCCCCTCTCCATCAGCCAGCCCCTCCCCCCAAACCCCAGTGCAAGTCAGGACAGAATCCATCCAGGTATCTCCATCTCTGCCTCTGGTATACCTTCTGGGTTCAGCTTCACGACTGTGAAGATCTTTCTGTCCTCTCCCTTGTCCCTTTCTCTTGCTAATTTGTTTCTTTTCCCTCACCAAGGACAGAATCTGTCCAGGCATCTCCATCTCTGCCTCTGGAGTCCCTTGGTGTGGCACACAAACGCACCGTGCAATTTTCCATTTTTAACCAAATTTTATTTTCTGCAACATGATTTCTATTTTTTTTCTCCTCTTTGTGTTCTAGTTCTTCCCTTCTTTTTCCATTGCTTTTTCTTCCTATTTCTGTTTCCTACTTTGTTTTTCTTTTACCTTACTCTCCTATTTTACTGCTCAGCCCTTACCCACTGCCTAAAGAAGTCTAGGTGCATAGCAGCTAAACATCTGTACATTGTGAGTTTTAGAAAATTCTTTGCCCCTCACTGTACTGATTCTAAAAAGAGTGAAATTACCCTTCATAAATCTGATTTCAAAATTCCTCCTGGAGAACACAGTAGAAGGAAGAAAATAGTCCTAATTTTTTCACAGTAAGGGAAACACATGAGGTCATAGTTACAGACTACTTCTCTAACAAATTAGCCAAAAGTGATTTTTAGTCATTACCAAATGATTGAAAATTGGAGAAAAGTCTCAAGGAGTGAGAATCAAGTAGTACATCTCCCGCAGGGGAACACTGTAACTTGTCTCCATGTAGGGAACTATTAGAGGATATCACTGAAATGTCAGAGAAAGAATTTAGAATATTTATTTTTTATTTTTTAATTTTTATTTTTATTATCATTATAATCTTCTTTATATTACATTGGATTACATATAACTTTACATTGTATTACATTGTTTTTTCAAAAAACACCACAAAAAAGAATCAAACAGAACTTTTACCTATGAAGGCTGTAATACAGGAAATTAAAACCTCCCTTGAAAAGTATTAAAAACAGGTTAGACCATGCAGAAGAATGAAATCTCAGAAGTAGAAGACAAAACCTCTGACCTAGAAAAATATATCAAAAATACTAAGAAAAATGAGAATAATATTAGAGAAATACTAGATAGTGTGAAACACCCAAACATCCAAATAATTGGTATCCCAAAAGGTGAAGAAACTGATAAGGACACATTGATAATTTATTCCATTAAATCCTGGAAGAAAACTTTCCAAGTCTAGAGAGGCACTCAATCAGACCCAAGAAATACAAAGAACCCCAAGCAGAATCAAACCAAGAAGATCCTCTCCATGGCACTTTATAACTAGATTGACCCAAACCACAGAAAAAGACAAGATACTAAGACTGGCAAGAAAGAAATGTCAAATCACTTACAAAGGCTATCCCATCAGGCTAACACTAGATCTCTCATTGGACACAATGTAAGCAAGGAAAGAATGGGGAAGAATATTCAAAGTGTTAAATGAAAAACATTTCAACCAAGAGTACTATACCTGTCAAGAATATCCTTCATATGGGAAAAGAAGATTATAAAAAAAATCATTCTTGGATAAACAAAACCTGATAGAATTTACCTACTCCAGATCAGCTCTTTAAGAAATTCTGAAAGGAGTACTATACCAAGAAAACTAAAGACAGACAGATAGCAATAAGAGAACAAAAAACAACTAAGAATATGGCCAACTTAATGGTAGGGATAAGTGGAAATGTCGATAATAATATTGAATGTTAATGGTTTAAATTCTCCAATCAATTAACACAGACTGGCTGAATGGATTAAAAAGTCAGAAACCCTCCACCTGCTGCCTACAAGAAACCCATCTCGTGGATAATGACGTACATAGATTAAAAATGAAGGAAAAAGGTATTCCATGCAAATGGAAACTATGAAGAGTAGGAGTTACTATACTGATTTCAGACAAAGTAGGCTTTAAGAAAAAAAAAAAAAGAGACAAAGAAAGGCATTGTGTAGTAGTAAAAGGTCTAATTCATCAAGAAGATATAAGGCTTATAAATATCTATGCATCCAACTCAGGAATACCAAAATATGTAAAGGAAAGACTGCTAGATAAAAACGGAGAGACAGACTGTAACACAATAATTGTTGGAAATTTCACACCTCATTATCTCCTTTAGACAGATCAATGAGACAAAAAATAAGCAAAGAGATTCAGGATCTAAATGATACCATAAATCACATCGACTTGACAGACATCTATATAATTTTCCACCAAAACAAACACAAAATATACATTTTTCTCAGCCCCGCATGGCATTTTCTCAAAGACAGATCACATGATAGGGGCCAAAACCAGCCTTTACAGATTCAAAGGCATAGAAACTATATCCGGCATCTTCTCCAAGCATTATGAAATTAAACTTAATACTAATCTCAGGAAAGGCCTTCCAAAATACACAAATACATGGAAACAAAATAACCTATTTCTGAATAACTTCATGACTACTAAAGAGATTAAGACTGAAATCAAAAGATTCATGGAAACAAATGATAATGAGTACACAAGTTTCCATAATCTATGGGACACTGCAAAAGCAGTCATAAGAAGGAAGTTCATAGCAATTAGTGTGCATAAGAGAAAGATGGAAAGGTGGCAAAAGGACAACCTACCATCATGCCTAAGGTAATTGGAAAAACAACAACAAAATCCAAGAAAATGCCAGGAGAAAAGAAATAATGAAGATTCAAGTAGAAATAAATGAAATAGATAAAAAATGAACTACACAAGGGACCAGCAGTTAGAGTAATTGCTATGTCACTGGACTCCTACGTAGTCGACCATGGTTCGAGTCCTGGACCTAGTGGCTTAAACTCATGCCAGGCACATGTGCGTGCATGCCCAAGATCCCGAGAGGAGAATGGAGAAGGTATTGCGGCATGGCCAACCCCCTTGGGGGTGATTTCTCGCTTTGTGTCTCTCTGTCTCTTTCTGGTGAGCACACATGCTCTATAGCAAAAACCTCCCCCCCACCTGCAAATCAAAAAAAAAAAAAAAAAAAAAAGAAAGAAAAGAAAAGAAAAATGAACTACACAGAAAATAGATGAAAGCAAAATCTGGTTCTTTGAAAAGATAAACAAAATTGACACACCATTAGCTAGACTAATTAAGAAAAAGAAAGGAACCAGATAAATCAAATTCATAATGTATCAGGCAACATTACAACAGACATAATAAAAATATAAAACATCATTAGAGGATACTATGAGAGATGACACACCAACAAACAAGAAAACCTGAATGAGATGGAAAAATTCCTGGACACGTATAATCTACCAAGATTGACTCAGGAGGACATAAAAAGCCTGATTAGACCTGTAACAAGCAATGAGATTGAATCATTAGTAAATAACCTCCCAACAAAGGAAAGTCCAGGCCCTGATACCTTCACTGCTGACTTTTACAAAACTGTATCTCTGATGAATATAGATGCAAAAATTCTCAACAAGATACTTGCTAACCATATTCAACAGCATGTAAAAAGATTATTTCATTATGATCAGGTAGGCTTAATCCCAGG